GCAAAAGGACTAGTTGACTCTCGTCAGGATGTCGTGGTTTGCCTGCAGTGTCTGGCATAGAGATAGTAGCGAACATTCCACAGGGTCTTAAGGTAATCCTTGTTTTCTTAAAACTTGCAGGTTAACTGTAATAACCTTATATCTTAGTCTTAACCCAAATACCTGTGATGATTCAAAGCTGACTTACGGGGAGACACGTAAGCCCCAGCTAAATGTTTTGGCCCCAAATATTGTTTGGATTAATTTGGCAAGGCACAGGGACAGGAGGAAAAGAAATATGTGTGTGTTCGCTGAGTCAAGTACATGCCTCAAGGACCTATTTCCCCTCAGGTTTTTGCTGTGTTCTTGGAATATCCTTTATTCAACACATGACCTCAAAGCCCTACCATGTGGCAGGAATGTAAAATGGGGTGGTTTGGAGGAAAGGTTGGTCCTGACATCAACGAGTTCACGGTCTGCTGGGGGACAGAAACCCGTAAGCCAGGGATTTCAGTCTGAGAGCAGCAGGCGCTGCATAGGAGGCCAGGCAGTTCTGAGCGCAAAGTGTTTCCCTGCCCCTCACTGGCTAGACGACCCCTTGGGTGCCCTCACCTCTCCAAGCCTTAGTTTCTGCAGGTGCACAACAAGCCAAATTCATGTTCACTTCAGAGACCAGTTAGCAGGGCTGAAGGTATTCCCTTTAAAGAGCCTGGCACCGGGAAGTATATGCTAGTCGCCTATTTGGTCCTTTGAATGCTCAGAGGGAACTTAGTAGAGCAGTCACTTGAAGAACAGGACATCCCCCAAATAATCTTGTCTTACACAGATTAAGCATAAGAAAGGATGGTTTATCTTTTAACTGAGAAATAAGTAGTGTCTCTACCAAAACAGGTACATGTGGTCAGCATTCCAACCACATATTTCTTACGGACAAATCAGTGCTGAAACACAGGGTTGTTTTTCAGTTGGCTGTAATAAAACAGCTGGTGGGGGGATGTCACTTGTATATGGACTGTTTCCAAATACTACTTGCAACTTTCCCTCTCTTGGGAAGCAGTATCCCCCCACTTCACTGCTCCTTAAACTACCCGCCCCCCGCTATTGTGGTTATTCTAACAATAGGGGGAAGCAAACTCTGTAGCCCTAGGGATCTGAGGACATCATCAGACTGATTTGTCCAAATTGAAAGTGTTTATTAATTTGTGTACATGTAAATGTAATAAACATTCTATATATTATGTATCATGTTACAGATTTGCTTTGATATAAACATGTCTTAAGCTACTTACCTACAAAAAAAATTGATGCTCCAGGAAGATGTAGAGGTTTCCAGAACACCTCTGCATCTTCCTGGGATTGATTAGACGTATTCCCATGTAAGAAAAACAGCAGAACTGACCTTTGCAAAGGACCCTTCTTGCTTTAGAGATTAAAAAAAAAAAAAAGTGGAGAGAAGAGAGAATAAACAGATCCACTGCCCCTTTAGATCACCGTCTGCTCTGCTGCCTGGAGGTTAATTATCCACATAGAAAATTCTCCCTGACAATTTAGAGTCAGCCAGCCAGCCAGCTTGACAACATAATCAGACGCTGGTGAGGATCAGGAGATGGGGAGCTTGTGTCTTCCCGTGTATGTCTGCTCATACTCAGCAAGAAATATTCATGGTGTTAGGATTACTAATTATCTATCGTGTCCTTGCCATAATTTGTACTCTCCAGGAGCCAAGTATTTTCTGTAAACACAAACCATAGAATTTAAAGTAGGCATAGAAATAAGATCCTCCTCCCCACCCCCGCAAATGTGGAATTCTGTACAAGGGACTATCCCAGTTTGCAGTTTCTGCAAAGTAAATCTGACTTAAGTTTCGCCATCCATGCTGTCTGTGCTAGAAAGGGATGTCGGCACGTACACACACAGCCCTGCTTTTCCCATTCCAGGTGGACAATATCTGACAGTCTCGGGAGCCAAAGGCCCAGGGGGAAAGGCCGCTCGCTTGGTGCTACCTCTCGGCCACCTCATGCATTCAGGGGACCTGTGCCTGTCGTTCAGGCACAAGGTGACTGGGCTGCACTCCGGCACGCTCCAGGTGTTTGTGAGAAAACACGGTGCCCACGGAGCAGCCCTGTGGGGAAGAAATGGTGGCCGTGGCTGGAGGCACACACAGATCACCTTGCGAGGGGCTGACGTCAAGAGCGTAAGTAGAACCTCGAAGGAGGCAGAGCCTGGGAAGTTTTCCTTTCAGAGGAGAACTGTAGGATCTGAATCTGAAGAAGCCTTGTTCTCTTCATTAATTCAGGCACAAAGCTTTGTGTTTCTGGGTATGAGAGCTCCGTTCATTCATTGCCTCTTCCTTTCATCCCTTTTGCTGCTGCTTATGTTCTTCGTTGCAACCTCTGATCACTGCCACTCTCCCCCCAGCCTTGGTGAAAATCCCCTATTTTTAGTGAAGAAAATTCAGGAATCAAAAAGGAAAAAAAAAAAAAGTTAACAGCAACTTGAAGGGGCAGAGGGGGTGAGCTTAACTGTTGCTGCTTTTCCTTTTTCTTCAACTCCTTTATTTTTCAGAGTTACCCTAAAGTGTTTCTTTTTTCTTTTTTGAAGTATTTTTTTAAAGTCTTTTTTTTTTTTTCCCCTTTGCCTCAGAGATCATAGTTAAACAGCCTTGGGTGGGAACCCAGAACAATATGCTTGGGACGTCCTATTCAGGAGAGGATGTGGGAAAAGCTTTGATTGAGTATGTAAGTTTTATCTTAAGTAATCAAGTCATAGGTGGCAATAAGATGCACTATAGCATCCCGCCGAAATAATGTTTTTGGAGGAGCATCTTTATGCTCCTATTCATAAACCTTGCTATTAGGAGATTATGCTTAGGTGACCACAGATATAGTTTCGAGAAACTATGTTAAAAGGGATAGACTCCATTTATATACGCTTTTATCAGTCTTAGATTTATTGTACTCTTTGAAAAAAAGTGTAACATTGTCTGGAAAAAAAAAAGGCATTTCAAATCCTAGCACAGGAAGGTTTCTGTTTTTAAAAAAGCAAGGATGATCTACAGAAGGTAAAATACAAGAAAGTTTTTGTTCTTTACGTAGGTAAAACAACACTGTGATTTCAGTGTGGTGGTTGGTCTGAGTCCATTTTAGGCCAACAAAGTCAGCCTAACCCAAGGAGGAAATAGCAAACATCCACGATAGGCGGCATGATTATGATCTTCCAGAGTTTTGGCTCTTATTTCTACATCTTTATATCTGTCTCATTTACTTCTGTCCTTGGTAATCTTTCACAAAGTGTCCGCTTCATAAACATTCCTAAACTGAAGTAGTCTGTCATTCAGAATGGCTTTTTAAAGAGTAACATGTGTCTGATTAACAGTTTACTCATGATTTCAGTTTCTACCAAAAGGCAAGCCTCAGGTGACCCTGGCTATGTTCTAGTCTTTCCTTCTGTCGAGTAAGTTTACTGTTTGGTGTTGGGGGAACGTTTGCCTTTATTTTGTGAAACGAATGGGCATTGGGAAGGGGCAGAGGAGGCTTGACTGGTGTGTGCATTCTCTCCCTAGGTCATCTTCAGAGGTGAAAAAAGGCGTGGCCACACTGGGGAGATTGGATTGGATGATGTGAGCCTGAGAAAAGGCCACTGCTCTGAAGAACGCGAGCAACTCCCGAACTAGCAATGAACTCCCCCCTGTGGCTCTTTTCTTTTTCCAATCTTCACCTCCTGTCCTCTCCTCCCTCTTATCAGGCCTAGGAGAAGAATGGGTCAGTGGGTCAAGAGAAAGTCTGGTGGGTGACCCACACCTTGCTGGCCTGCTTTTGTGCAATTCCAGTGAATAGTGACACCCTCCTTGGAATATAGGGGGCACCTGTAGACACATCCAAGCCAGCTTTCGGTGTTGCTTTCCATCCTGTGTCTTTTTTGGGAAGGGCCCTGGCATGTGACCTGTTGCATCGTTCCTTCTGGTTACAGGTGTTCCTAGTAGCAAACCATGGGAGAAGTTTTCAAAGGAAATCTGTGCAAATGGCCATTCTGTTATCTGTTCAGTGTTGTACCATGAGTAGTATTGACTTCCCCTAAGAGATGTACAATGTGCTTGTGAAATTGGTTTCTCCCCTTGGCTTCTTAGCTCTGGCCTGACCTGAACTCTGACTTTTACTGCCATTCACTTTATAAAAGAAGGGTGTGTAACTTATCAAGATGCATTTATTCTCGTTATCTGTATTTTTCTTTCAAAGACATGACGTAGAATGGACACGTAATCCCTCGTTAGTAGTATTGTGTTTCGTGTAAATGTGCTATTGATACTAGGTAGTTACGTGTTCCTAATATATACAGACTCTAGTTGCAAGGGAAAAGGCAGCTTGCGAGCTCTTGAATTAAAAAATACCCAGTGAAATGTCATCCAGTTCCATGACCTTATTTTGGCAGCAAGAGAAAATTGGAAGAGATGTCAGGTGTGGTAGTGGAGGGATGAATTTTTTCATGGCCTTGAGTTTGATCACGATACAGGATAGCGAACCATTCATGTGGACAAGAAGCTGAAGTTTACATATAAAACTCTCACTGTTCCAGGGTATACTTTAAAACCAACAGTTTTTACCATAATAACATGGCTCTCTTTGGTAATCAGTAAAACATGTTGTAAAAGTTCTGGTTGTTTCAGAGAAAAGATCCTGTTTATGGAAGGGTGAGGGGAAGTGTGGGGGAAGCTCCGTTGGGACAGGTTTTCATACTGTTTTAGATCCACATACATGTAGGCAGGTCTAGCTCCTAATGTATGTGCCGTCTTGTCAGAATGGGTCAGGGAGCAGGTCCTGTGCCTGGACGCATTGATGTGTTGGAATGGGACTCACGCACACATTAGAGCAATAAAATCTGGGAACCCCCCCCCAACCACATTTCCTCCCTGCCGATTTTACCTATATATGAAAAAAATACCTAACTTTTAAAAGGCAACTTAGTCCTGAGGCTTTTACTTCATTCCTGATTAAGTAATCAATATTCTCTGCTGTTTTTGCCAGGAATCACAAAGATGATTAAAGGGTTGGAAAAAAAGATCTATGATGAAAAATTAAAGGAACTGGGATTATCCAGCGTGGAGAAGAGAAGACTGAGGGGCAAACCATTGCTGGTTTTCAAGTGTATGAATGGTTGGTACAGAGAGGATGATGACCAGCTGTTCTCCATATGCGCTAAGAATAGAACAAGAGGAAACAGGCCTAGACTGGAGTGTGAGGGGGCATTTCCTGGCAGGGACAATTGTTAAATTAGAATCCTTTGTTAAAAAAAAAAAAAGTTAATCTCTCTCCCTCTCCTCTTTCTCTCCCTCTCCCTGTCTCTCTTCTTTCTCTCCCTCTCTTTTCTCTTTCTCCCTCACCCTCTTCGAAGGTTTAAAAATAGATAAAAATGTGTTTATTTAAGATGGTTAAAGATGTTCTTACATCAAGATAGAGTGACAGATTACAGAATCTTCCAAAAGCTGTTTTGATCCTATTACTAGGTAATGAAAATCTTCGGAACTTAGTCATTCGGATGAGGCCAAGGTCTAATTTAGGCATTTACCTCTTAGCCTCCTAATGGAGGAGAATCAAAAGGGGGAAAAAACCCATCAAATGGGGAGCTCACTGAAAGATCTCTCCCTTTATGGCAAACCTAACAGGATTAAAACAGTAAAATATCTGTCCATCATACTCTTTTAAGAATATTGTTTTTTGTTTTTGGTTTTTTTTTTTCCCTATCTCAATGATGTCCTAATGTGGTAGGGTTCATTTCTTTTTTTGGTAAAAGTATAACCCTTTCACCTGTTCAGTGGATGATAGTTCAGGTTTTTAAAGAGACCATAGCAAGGAACAGAGGCTAGAGAGTTGTTTTTTCTTTTGTTTTTTTTAATCTGGTGCATTCTCTCTGCAATGTATGTGACAAATTGGCCACTGATAGAGAGTGCTATGCTATGCTCAACACCAGTTTCAGGATCCTTGCTTCACCCAGCCACTATAATTCAGTTTCATTTGTCAATGGGAATCTCCCAAGTTCCACAAATTCACCTATTTTTCCAAAAAAAAAAATTACCAACAGAGTATCTTTAGTCATTTCACTTGGTGAAGGCAGGATGGGAGCAGGGATGTAAATCTGTGAGCCTTTGAATAGGGGCCAGATGGTATGGCTTTAGATCCATTTGTAATGATTCATTTCCTTTGTGGTCATTTAACTGCACAAGTGAAGAGGAAAGGGGGAAATAATTGAAAATGTCACTTTTAGGTGCCAATAATGGATTGCACTAAACTGACAGAAGTTATCCAAAGTACTGTATAACATCTTGTTTATTATTTAATGTTTTCTAAAGTGAAAAATGTTAGTGGTTTTCCAAACAGCCAAATAAAAATAATTCTTTGTAAATAAAAGCACTGTTAATGATACCTACTGTCTGTTATTGTTTGAGTTTTGTTTTGTTTTTAGTCGGGAGACTACTGGAGCAATCTGAGATTTCACGAAGGCCATCTATCGTAGAACCCCTCTTACTGCTTGGAAGTGACCCACATCGGGATGCTTTCTAGGCTATGAAACAGGAGACCCTCTTCATCAGCACGCACAGGGCACGTCATACCTTAGCAAATTGCTTTAGTTACATTCCCTTGTATCTCACTTCAACATTAGCCTCAAGTCCTTTTATAGGAAGGTAGGATAAACTAGAATATATCAATATATAGGAATTAGAAGTGAAAAGCCTTTTTTTTTTTTTTTTACCAGTGTTGGTTTTGTTAGTTTATGGTAGTTTACTCGTATTCCAATAACCTTTCCTGATGGAGAAAACAACTATAAGGAAACAAAACTAAGGACATCATTCAGGATTAAAAGTTTTCCTGACAAGGTAATGAACCCCCATCCTGGCACTGCAAACTGTAATGAGGGATAGTCCTGGGGGCCCCTCAACAAATTCCCCTGTTGCAGGACAAAGAGGAAAATCTGGCGTTTAAAAGAGCCACTAGCAGGGGTGCCCGGGTGGCTCAGTCAGTTAAAGCGTCTGGCTCTTGATTTCAGCTCAGGTCTTGATCTCCTAGTCTGTGGGATCGAGCCCCAGGTCAGGCTCTGCACAGACAACACAGAGCCTGCTTGGGATTCTCGATCTCCCTCTCTCTGCCCCTCCTCTGTTCGTGCTCGCTTGCTCTCTGTCTCTCTCAAAATAAAGAGCAATTAGTATACAAAAGATCCAGCCCTAGACGAGGATGTGGAGAAGAGGGAACCCTCTGAAACTATTGGTGGGAATGCAAAATGGTGCAGCCGCTCTGGAAAACAGTATGGAGCTTCCTCAGAAAGTTAAAAATAGAACTACCCTATGATCCAGCAATTGCACTACTAGGTTATTTACCCAAAGAATACAAAAGTACTAACCTGAAGGGATACATACACCCTAATATTTATAGCAGCATTATCAACAATAGCCAAATTATGGAAAGAGCCCAAATGTTTCTAGACAAATGAGTGGATGAAAATGTGGTATGTATATACAATGGACTATTATTCAGCCATAAAAGAATGAACTCTTGGTACTTGCAATGACATGGATGGAGCTAGACTGTATGATGCTAAGTGAAATAAATCAGAGAAAGACAAATACCATATGATTTTAGTCATAGGTGGAATTTAAGAAAAACCATGGGGGGAGAAAAGAGGAGGTGGGGGGGATGGATGAAATAGGTGATGGGGATTAAGGAGGGCACTTGTGATGAGCACTGGGTGATGTATGGAAACACTGAATCACTAAATTGTACACCCAAAACTATTACACTGTATATTAACTAACTAGAATTCAAAAACAAAAGAAAAATAACAGAAGATCCAGCCTTAGAAAGCTGCCAAATGGTGGGAGAACTACTTAAAGTCTCGGGGCAGGTCAGGGCATGGCTAACATTCCTCATTCACATTGATATCATGGATGAATGCAGTCCAGGTGCCCAAGCCAGCTTACCACCTCAGGGGCCCTGGGCCCCTAGCCCACCCCAGCCCCAGCAGTCCCACTGAGGCAGCCCTAGCACAGCACACACCGAGACACCCCTGGTCAGCATTCACTACAGCCCCAGCTGTTTCCCCAAAGTAACAGGCAAAACGTACCCCAGAATACTCCATACCCATACAGCGTTGGCCCCAGACCGCTTGCTAGGATGGCCCTATGCATTGAGCACCCAGGACCCTGTACCCCATACCTTACCTCAGCTCCAGCTGCTCAGGCAGGGAGCTCTCTCTGCAAAAAGCCTCAGGACACACTGGCTTATACCCACTTCAGGTTCAGCCGTCCTGCCAGGGAACCCTCTGTGTGGAGAGCCCTGGGACTTCCCCCAGCCCATGACTTCAGCTCTGGCCATCCCACCAGGGCAGCTCCAGCACAAAGTGCCCCGGGACCCCCAGCCCATGCCAGCCACAGTTCAAGCCAGCCAAACTTGCCAAGCATATACAGTCTACACAGAGAATGACCATACACAAACCAATCCTTCAAGTTTAGAAGTAGCTATTCTGCCTAACTTCTAGAAACAAACACAGAAAGTCAAGCAAAATTTAGAGATAGAGAAATATGCTCCAAATGAAAAAACAAGACACCCCCCATCGCACACACACCGCTCATGCTCTCTCTCTCAAAAACAAACGTTTAAAAAATTTTTAAGTGCAGAGCCTGTTTGAGATTCTCTCTCTCCTTCTCTCTCTGACTCTCTCCTGCTCACACTTTCTCTGTCCCTCTCAAGATAAACTTATAAAAAAGAAGGCAGAGACAAATACCGTGATTCCACTTATATGTATACTCTAGAAAACAAGTGAATAAACAAACCAAAAGCAGAATCAGACTCGTAAATACAGAGAAGTGATGGTTGCCAGAGGAAAGGTGGGGATGGGCAAAGTGGGTGAAGGGGAGTGGGAGATACAGACTCCCAATCATGCAATGAAGAAGTGGAGATAAAATTACTGAATGTGGAATATAGGCAATGGTATTCTAATAGTGTTGTATGGTGACAGATGGTAGGTATATTGTGATGAGCATAGCATAGGATATAGAATTGTCAAATCATTGTTGTATACCTGAAACTAATGTAACGTTGTGTTTCAACTATACTTGTCTTAAAAAAAAAAAATCAGCAAAAAATTCATTCTGCAGAATTATAAAAAATGTGCCCAATGGCTTCTTTCTTTCCAATATGCAGAGAACCCTTATCAGCCGAGGAACTCAAATTTTAGAGAAGTACATACTTTAGCAAAAGGGAAAGAAAAACGACAGTTTCCTTGTCTCAGAGATATTTCCTGATTTCAGAGATCCTTCCTAATCATCCCTAGGAGATCCAAAAAAATCTCAGGTCTTCTGAGTAGGTTAACTAAGAAGATAAACCTCTTGCAAAACCTATTTGAGGTGAGGGTTGGAGGAAGCAGGTAAGTATGAGATTCCAGGGTCCACTTCACGGATTTTCTGGACAGATTTGATAGCACTTAACTATGTGTGTGACTGTGGTGTACAACAGGAAGCAGACTTCCCCTGTGGGTTTGTAATCTAGAGACGAAGATGGACATTTATCAAGTCATATATAATAAATGCAAAACTACTATTCTGAAAAGTAGTACATGGTACCTTGAAGGCTCTGAAAACATGGTGGGTTCCAGGACTTTTGGCCCACCACTTTTTAAGCTCCCATGTGCGTGGGAATCACCTAAAGATCTTATTGAAGTGCAGCTTCTGATTCAGTGATCTGGAGTGGGGCTTGAGATTCTGTACTTCTAACCATCTCAAAAGGTGATGGTCACTAAGTTCCAGGGTCCCATTTGAGTAAGAAGGACTTAATGATAACACACTGAGGGACCTGGGGCCTCTATCTCTGTTAACATTAACTGTTAGAAGGACTAAAGTTCCACAGTTGCAAGATCTACATTCACAAAAATTTAGTAAATTCCAGTGCCTTTTTTCTTTGAAAAAACTTTTGGGTCTCAATAAATAGAGAATATCAATAAATAGACAGCATTTTAAAAGAACATAAATTCTGAATATAATAAGTACTATTACTAAAATGAAAAATTCACTAAGATATTCAACAGCAGATCCGAGCTCACAGGAGAAACAGTCAACTTGAAAAGAGATCACTTGAGATTATCCATTCTGTGGAACAGAAGGATAAAGTTTCAATAAGGAGAAAACAACTAGACCTAAGATCAACAAGGAAATAGAAGACTTGAAAAATTCTGTCAACCAACCAGACCTAACATGGATCTATAGAACGCTCTGCCCAACAACACAAGAATATACATTTTTCTCAGGTGCATAGAGATGTTGACAGACTATAAGTTAGGCCATAAAACAGTATCAGTAAGTATAAAAGTACTGAAATTATACAAAATATGTCATTCAACCACAATGGAATGAAATTAGTAACAGAGGGAAATTTGGGAAACTCACAAATATATGGAAATTAAATAACATGCTCATAATCAATGGCTAAAAGAAGAAATCATGGAAAAAGTATTTTCAGATTAATAAAAATGAAAATACAATGTGCCCAAACTTATGAAATACAGATAAAACACTGCTTAAATGCCTATATTTAAAAAGAAGAAAGTGAAATCAATAATATAAACTTCAACCTTATAAAACTAGAAAAAAAAGAGCAAATTAAATCACAATATGTAGAAGAAAGGAAATAAAGATTTGGACATTTGAAAAAATGAACAGAAAAATAATATAGAAAATGAATGTAACTAAAAGTGGATTCTTTGATGAAGAAAATTGATAAGTATCTAGCTAGACTGAACAAGAAAAAAGGACTTAATAAAAAAATCAAAATGAGAGGGGACATTATCACTAACCTTACAGAAATAGAAAGGATTATAATACTCTGCACAATTTTATACCAACAAATAAGATAACCTAGTTATATGGACAGAGTCTTGGACACAAACTACTGAAACTGAGTCAAGAAGAAATAAACAGAAAACCTGAACATACCAATTGCAAGTAAATAGATTGAACTTATAATTACAAATTTTCCACAACAGAAAGCCAATGCCCAGATAGCTTCAATGATGAAGTCTACCAAACGTTTAAGAAGAATTAAAATCGGGGCGCCTGGGTGGCTCAGTCGATTGAGCGTCCGCCTTCGGCTCAGGTCATGATCTCACGGTCGGTGAGTTCGAGCCCCGCGTTGGGCTCTGTGCTGACAGCTCGGGGCCTGGAGCCTGCTTCCGATTTTGTGTCTCCCTCTCTCTCTGACCCTCCCCCATTCATGCTCTGTCTCTCTCTGTCTCAAAAATAAATAAACATTAAAAAAAATTTTTTTTTTAAAAAAGAAGAATTAAAATCAAGTCTTTATAAACTCTTAAATAATTGGGAAAAGAAACACTCCTCAACTCATTCTATAAGACCAGTTAAAAAAAAAAAAAACAGTTTGGA